CAACGATTGGATTAACTGAACGAATTAGATAAAATGGTTAAGAAACCGCAACAATCAGATTAACCGAACGAATGACATAAAAATGGTTTTATAACCACAACAATTAAATGACCAAACAAGTGAAATAAAAACGGTTTTATAACCGTAATGGTCAAATCACCAAACAAATAAAGTAAAAACGGTTTTATAACCACAACGATCAAATGATCGAACAAGTAAAGTAAAAACGATTAAGAAGCTACAACAGTCAAATGACTAAACAAGTGAAGTAAAAACGATTTTATAACCGCAACGATCAAATGACTGTACAAGTTGAGTAGCAATAGTTGTATAACCAAGCTAGTTGAGTAAAAACAATTTTATAACTAAATAAGAAATGATTTTATAATCAAACAAGAAACGGCTTTATAACCGAACAAGAAATGGTTTGATAACCGAACAAGAAGCAATTTTATAATTGAGTAAGTTGAGTTACAATAGTCAAACGACCGAGCAAGTCGAGTGGCCATGGTCAAATGATTGAGCCAGTTGAGTAGCAATAGTTGTATAACCAAGCTAGTTGAGTAGAAACGGTTTTATAACCGAGCAATAAATGGTTTTATAACCGAACAAGACATGGTTTTATAACCAAGTAAGAAACGGTTTTATAACTGAGCAAGTTGAGTTGCAACGGTCAAAGGACCGAGCAAGTTTGAGTGGCTAAGGGGCCAAATGAGGGTAAACACTGCCAAGGGGTCGAATGAAGGTAATGTTTGAAAGATCTATAACAATGAAACAAATGCAAGTGAGACAACTTTCACATAGAAGATAATGTAAAAAGAAGAGAGATTAAGAAACTTCCTTGAACATATGGTGGATGTCCTTACTTGGTAAGAGTCTAGTGTCCTTTGTGTTGTGCATTCATTAATAGGCTTAATGACATGCTTTGCATAAAATTCAGTGACTTGAGAACATCTCTAGTTCATTGGGGAAAATTCTCGAATCATTGCAAGATAGGATAAGCACCATGGCCATTGAATCAAGTTTTTGCTTTTCTCTGCAACTTTCATCTTTTTGTAGATTTGTTAAGAGATTTCAGTTAAATAAAGCAATTATATTAACTGAAATAAAGCATCATAACCAATTAACATTCTAATCTAAACAAGAAAAAGAAGGCTAGGGTGTGGGTAATATGAATGGATAGAAAGAGAGGACTAGATGTGGATAATATGGACGAACAATGTATTGAGATTTTAAGGATCATGTGATTTTGAGATAAACATTTTTTTTTAAGTGCATAACTTTTGATGCAACAATTTTGACAAAGCTAGAAGAAATTTAGGCTATAAAATATTTGTTTCAAGAATTTATTCTCTTTGTAACTCCACCAATTCAGTTCTTAGCATATGAGGCAATGTCTACTTCCATGCCAAAGTGGACAAATTGAATCTATCTCCTTCCCATGCCTTCCATGTTCAGAAGATCGATATAAACCACTAAGCTTTTAGCAATGCTAACCAACTTAGACTTACTAAAGCAAGGATTTTTTTTTTTTTTTTTTTTTTGTTCCTTGATAGAGAAAGTTTCAAACCATCAAATAAGGACTTCATCTAGGCTTGTAATGTGGCTTGGGGTTAGGCTATTATGAAAGAAAGGAATAAAGGCTCAAAATCCATATATTCCCTTTACATTTCCCTCTTCACGACCCTAGTCATTGATGTGGGTTAATAAGAAGAAAATCATCTTGGCTTTTCTAAACTTGGATGAGTGCCTATTTTTGGCTCAAAAAGGGTAAGCAAAAGACAGTGTTAATTGTTCGGAATAGAGAGACAATGACTTTCATCATTGGATCTTCAACTTTTCAAGTCAAGGAAACATTTAGCTTGCTAAGTTGTCCTTTTCTTTTTCGTTTTTTCTTTTTCAAAAATTCATGATTAAACTGTCACGCCCCAGAACCCAAATCCGGGGACATGACAGATGCCGTACACTTGTGAGAGGGTCCCACAAATGCACGAGGCTCAGAACTTTATCATACCACAATCTGATACCACAAAATCTGAAGATAAAATTATAAAATTTACCTTGATATCATAAATCTCCAAATAAAGTCTAGCTTACAACATCATGATTTATATCTAAAATCTATATCAAATTACAGGATGGCTAGCCTTCTAACTCGTCACTCCCCTCGTTTTTCCTCGTCCTTGACTTCGCTTCCTGAAATGGTGGACAAGGAAAAACTATGAGATAACTCAGTAAGTAAATATGGATAGCTCTTAATTAAACTTATAGCATGCCAACCAGTATAATCATGAAAAATAGGTACAAGTACAAAAACGAAATAAACATCTCCTCTATAGGTCATGACCAGTGTTATAAACCTCCCACTGGCAGGCACACGATTTACTAGTGTATAATCCCACTAGCAAGATAACAGTATAACAAAAACGAACCGATTCTATCAGTAACATGTCGACATGTGCTAGTGTTTATAAATCTCCCACTAGCGGGCACACGAATAACATGACCATATCGGAGACAAAACAAGTAGAAGTTAACAGGAAAAATCATAATTCACAAATAATTTCCAAATCATCAGGGCAGTTAAGTAAACTCCAAAAAGGCATGCTCAAATCAATAAAAAGAATAATAATTTCATTTCAAATCGATCATACTTGTATAAAACAGGTTTAGTCCCGCCACCACTTCAAAAACAAACTAAAATGTTCTTTAAAATCGGAGGGTGTTACCATAATTTACTTACCTCAATCGCATAAACCGAGGACTCAATCCCAGTGCTCTAAGCCATAACAGCACCTAATATTCCAAATAAATACATTCAGACGTTACTAGAATTATTAACACAACCTTGCAAATTTCCTAACCAATGAGCTTCACACAAAATTCAACCATAAGACCAAACATCGCAATTTCATTCTCAGTATAACTAACATTTAAACCCTTCTATTGTTGGCCATTAGTGCGTAAACAGTGCCCATGAACAGTGCCCGTGAACAGTAATCACGCCGTGAATAGTAACTGCAAGTTCCAAAAATTGGCAAAACCATAGTTAATCTCATGGGATTTTTCTCCAAAATCTCACAGAAGTCAATTAACACTCAATCACATAAATTCCACTTGAATTAATGCTTAAATTTTGTCCTAAAGCTACCGGAATTCATCCCCCTAATTTTACAAAATTCGAACAACACATGGGGCAGTAATTAAATGGACAATTTCAGCAATTAAAGGATAATTTTAGGCTCAAAGAGGCTGTCACATACCAGAATTTTGCCAACAAAACCAGAGCTGCAAGCTAGGGGAAGGCCGACGGGAATGAAGGAGAAAAATCAGGAAATCTACCGAAAATTGGAAGAACCAAGGGGATTTAGAGTAAACCCAAACCAATTCAAGGAAGAACAAAGGAATTTCGGGCTGCTTCTTACCAGAAACCAGAGCAATTTGCCCCCACAAAGCAGGAGCAGCAGACGGACGGGAGAGATAGAGCAAAGCAGATCCGAAATTCTGTAGAGGGGGGAAAGGTTTCCAAGCTTAAATCTTGTTCTTGAACAAGAAAAGGAAGGAAAATATCAAGTTCTCTTATCGATTTCTCAAGTGGGGGCATCGGTGGTGGCTGGGGCTCTTGTTCAGTGCAGGGGAGAAGAAGAAGAAGAAGAGAAACACGCGATTGAAGAAAGAAAGAAGGAAGAAAAAAAATCACCCGATCCTTATCCAAATTCTTTCCTCTTTTAAGTCCCTTAAGTTTCAAAATTTTCACTACTAAGCCCCAAACAATATTTTCCTCACAATCAAGTCCTTAACTAAGTGCTAAATATCACAAAATTTTGAGATATTACATAAACTAAGAGCAGTTAAATTCACTAATAAAGATTATTGTTGGCTTGTAATGTGGTTTTGGGTTAGGTTATCAAAAGGAAGGATATGAAGGCTCAAAATCTCTTTCCATAGGTATTTCCCCTTCACAATCACTTTGCACTCCCCAAGTTCATGATGTAGTAAATTCACAAGAAAATCATCTCAGCTCTTTGTCACGCCTCAGAACCCAAATCCGAGGACGTGGCAAACGCCGTATACTTGTGAGAAGGTCCCACAAATGCACAAGGCTCAAAACTTATTCAACAAAATCAGTTTTGATACCATAAAATTTCCAATTAAAATCTAACTTACAAGAGCATGGTATATATATCTAGAATCTATGTCAAATCTCAAGTGGCTAGCCTTCTACCACGTCACTCCCCTTGATTTCCATGTCTCGGTCACCTACCTGAAATGGTGGACGAGAACAACGAGGTGAGATAACTCAGTAAGTAAATATGGATAGCCCGTAATTAAACTCATAGCATGCTAACAAGTATAATTGCAAAAAACGAGTACAGTACGGGAACAAAATAAACATCTCCTCTATAGGTCATGGCCAGTGTTATAAACCTCCCACTAGCAGGCACATGATTTACTAGTGTATAATCCCACTAACAGGATCACAGAAATAACAGTGTTTAACAACTCCCATTGGTAAGAGGAATCGGCTCTACAGAAATACATGTCGACATGTGCTAGCGTTTATAAACCTCCCACTAGCGAGCACACGAATAACATGACCATATCGGAGACAAAACAGGCAGAAGTTAACAGAAAAATCATAATTCACTAATCACTCTCAGATCATCAGGACAATCAATTAAATTTCAAGTAGGCATGCTCAATTTAATGAAAAGCATAAAAATTTCATTTCAAATAAGTCATGCTCGTGTAAAACAGGTTTAGTCCCGCCACCATTTCAAAACCATCAAAAATTTGCTTTTAAAAGCTTTACCTTAAATCCAGGGCATTACCATAAGTTACTTACCTCACTCGCATAAAACCGAAGACTCGATCTCAGTGCTAAACTGACAGAACAATCAGGAACCTAATCAAAATATCCAAGAATTAATACCCATACTTACAGACAACAATGGAGGGACAGGGCTTTTATTCAATTATTGTCTCTGGCAAAACTGCCACTAACACACGCGATTTTCTACTCCAAATAATTAAAACTCAATGTATGAACAACACACGTGAATAACACACGTGAACAGTACACGTGAACAGTAACTGATATTTCAATAATTCAATTACAGCAAACTAAAATACCAGAAAAAGGATATTTCACCAGATTTTCAGAGCAGAACAGAATGAAAAAGAAAGGAAAAATAGTAGCAAAAGGCAGAAAAACGCAGCAGCAATTTGTAGAATTTTCTGCGTGAATAGTAGCTGCGCGCATGAACACTAAAATTTTAGCAAAACAGCAGGATTTTCCACACAGAACAGCAGCTAAATTCAAGCCAAAATTAGGTTTATTTCTACATGAATTAAGCTAAAAAAACACATTTAAAATGCTACCTAATTCTTCCATATTTTCGGCAGAAAATTCAATGTACAAGGCAGCAATTACACAGGTTAAATTCAGCAACTAATGGGTGAAATTTGGACTTAGAGAAGCTGCCACATACTAGAATTTTTCCAGCTGTAGAACCGGACCTGGCGGGGGAAAGAGGCCGGTGGCAATTCTGCAAGGGAACTCGCGGCTACCAAATTCAAGAACCAAAACACAATTCAAAGTAAACCCAAACCAAATTAAGGGAGAAAAGATGAATTTCAAGGTTCTTGCCTACCAAAAAGCCTAGAAAATCGCACCCCCAACCAGCAGAAACTCACGGACCGAAGGAAAGAGGAAGGGAGAGCAGATCTGGAAATTTCTACTTCAAAGGGAGGGTTCTAGGTCCTAAATCATTTCTTTAACAAGAAAAGAAAGGGAAAAATCAAGCTTTGTTACCAATTTCCTCAAGAAAT